GTTGAGCTGTGTACTCTGTGCCCCAGCTGATAGTCACAGCCTTGTCCTTACTGTGAGCAGAGTGAGGAATTGACCATCTCACTAGTGTGTAAGCTCTCAGACTTGTTCTTTACTAGAGTAGGTGCAGTCTGGGTGCAGTGATGGTTTCTCTCTGTGCCCAGAGGGTGGCTCCCTCCTTCACTGCCAGGATAGATGTCGGTGTGTGTTCTCCCAGCCAGTAGGACAGATGCAGTCAGTAAACAAAACAAACAAACACAGACACACACAAACACCTTCCTGGCTCAGCAACCCTGACCCCTAACAGCAGAGATGAATCATGTTACTCAAAGTAGAAAGTTGCCATCAGTAAGTGAAACTGACAAAAGGGTATCTTAAAAGACAATTGCTTTAAATTTAACATCTATAAATTAATATGACTGGGCATGGTGGCTCACACCTGTAATCTCAGCACTTTGGGAAGCCAAGATGGGCAGATCATCTGAGGTCAAGAGTTCGAGACCAGCCTGACCAACATGGAGAAACCCCGTCTCTACTAAAAATACAAAATTAGCCAGGCGTGGTGACGCATGCCTGTAATCCTAGCTACTGGGGAGGCTGAGACAAGAGAGTAGCTTGAACTCAGGAGGCAGAGCTTGCAGTGAGCTGAGATCATGCCATTGCACTCAAGCCTGGGCAACAAGAGTGAGACCCCATCTCAAAAAAAAAAAAAAAAAAAAAAAAATTGCAGTTGATTATGGAGATTAAGAAGTAAACTGCATGATAGAAAGAGGAACATATTAATCAAAAGTAGAATAATAAATTTCATTGTATAATTTTTTCTTTTTCTACAAGTTAATATATAAAGGACAATAGCATAGAATTAAAGGTGTTTGTTTTTATTCAAGAATTTTTTTTTTTTTTTTTTTTTAGGCAGAGTCTCCCTCTGTTGCCCAGGCTGGAGTGCAGTGGCATGATCTCGGCTCACTGCAACCTCCACTTCCTGGGTTCAAGGGATTCTCATCCCTCAGTCTCCTGAATTGCTGGGATTACAGGTGCTGAGCCACCACACCCGGCCAGGAATATTTACCTTTTTTTTTTTTTTTTGAGACAGAGTCTCGTTCTGTCGCCCAGGCTGGAGTGCAGTGGCACGATCTCGGCTCACTGCAAGCTCTGCCTCCCGGGTTCATGCCTTTCTCCTGCCTAAGCCTCCCCAGTGAGTGGGACCACAGGGGCCCACCACCACTCCTGGCTAAATTTTTCTATTCTTTTAGTAGATACGGAGTTTCACCATGTTAGCCAAGATGGACTCAATCTCCTGACCTTGTGATCTGCCTGCCTCGGCCTCCCAGAGTGCTGGGATTACAGGCATGAGCCATTGCACCCAGCCAAGAATATTTTCAAAAGCATATCTCTCAGGCTATAAAAATTGAAGTTGAAATTGTGTAATCAAGTTTATAGCCTGAAGCAATTGGGTCTATTAAAATAATAAGTATTCGTTTTATTTCTAAGTAAAAGAGATAAATCAAAGGCCAATAAAACATTTCACTTGGGATAACTTTCTTTTTTTTTTTTTTTTTTTTTTTTTTTGAGACGGAGTCTCGCTCTGTCGCCCGGGCTGGTGTGCAGTGGCCGGATCTCAGCTCACTGCAAGCTCCGCCTCCCGGGTTTACGCCATTCTCCTGCCTCAGCCTCCCGAGTAGCTGGGACTACAGGCGCCCACCACCTCACCCGGCTATTTTTTTGTATTTTTTAGTAGACACGGGGTTTCACCGTGTTAGCCAGGATGGACTCGATCTCCTGACCTCGTGATCCGCCCGTCTCGGCCTCCCAGCCTGTAATCCCAGCACTTTGGGATAACTTTCTTTTCAGATGGTTTTCTTTTTTTTTTTTTTTTTTTTTTTTTTTTTGACAGCGGGGCGGAGATCCTGTCGCCCGCTGGTGTGCAGTGGCCGGATCAGCTCGCTTTGCAGAAAAGCTCCTACCTCTCCTTCCCAGTAGACTACAGGCGCCCCTCACCCATTATTTGTATTTTTGGTAGACACGGGGTTTCTGGCGTTGTTAGCTTTCCAGAGATGGACTTTCCTGACTAATGATATCATCCCTCTCATGCTTTGGGATAACTTTCTTTCGGAGTGGTTTTCTTTGTTGGAGACAGAGTCTGCGCTCTGTGCCAGGCTGGAGTGCAGTGGCGCGATCTGTCACTGCAAGCTCCGCCTCCCGGGTTTCTGCGTCACCTGCCTCCCAGCCTCCGGGTAGCTGCAGGACTACGGCGCCCGCCTGTGACAGTTTTCTTGTATTTTTAGTAGAAGGCCCAGGGTTTCACTGTATTTAGCCAGGATGGTCACCGATCTCTCCTGACCTCGTGATCCGCCCATCGGCCTCCCTTTTTTTTTTTTTTTTTTTTTTTTTTTGAGACAGAGTCTCGCTCTGTGCCCCAGGCTGGAGTGCAGTGGCGCGATCTCGGCTCACTGCAAGCTCCGCCTCCCGGGTTTACGCCATTCTCCTGCCTCAGCCTCCCGGGTAGCTGGGACTACAGGCGCCCGCCACCTCGCCCGGCTAGTTTTCTTGTATTTTTAGTAGAGACGGGGTTTCACTGTGTTAGCCAGGATGGTCTCGATCTCCTGACCTCGTGATCCGCCCGCCTCGGCCTCCCAAAGTGCTGGGATTACAGGCTTGAGCCACCGCGCCCGGCCTCAGATGGTTTTCATTCTGATTCTGCTGTTACTTTCAGATCAGTTAATACATAGAAGACGACTACAATTTTGTGTTCAGATTTAGAGTATAAACCAAGTCTCATTTCATTAACTAATATAGACCAATGGGTTGGTTAAGAAAGGAACCATTAATTTTACAAAGAGAGTTGTCCTAAACTGTGACCAGTTTTCCAGTACTTAATTCTTTTTGTAAAAAAAAATTCATTAGTTTTTTTAAATGGCAAATAAAATTGTATATATGTTGTATAAAACCTGTGTAGAAATAAGCAGATTGTGGAATGATTACATTGCACTCAGGAACATACGCATACTTATTTTTTTGGTGAGAACACTTCTTGATTTTCAAGAATACAATACATTAACTGCAGTCACCATGTTGAGCAATGTATCTCTTAAACTTATTCCTCCTGTCTAACTACAATTTTGAATGCTTTCACTGTCTCCCCAAGTCCCTGCCTCCCAGCCCCAGGTAACCTCCATTCCACATCCTGCTTCTGTGGGTTCCATTGTTTACATTCCACATGAGTCAGATCACGTGGTAGTTGTCTTTTTGTTCCTGGCTCATTTCACTTAACACAATGTGCTCCCTTAACCTCCTGTGAATCCCAGTTTCTAACCTACAATTGCTCTAAGTGTTTTCATTCACTTTTCATGGTTTCTACTAAGAATTCCAGAGCTCAGCTGCAATGTGTTCACTGCTTTGGAAGTTATTCATTGTTTTTCTTTACTTCTTGTCCACGGACACACAAATAAATTGTCTGGTACAAGTGCAGCGGCTATATGCCCTTCCTGTGAAGGCAGGCCGGTTTGACATCTATTAAGCAAATCCATCTCAGCATTCTTAACAGCATTTATATTGTTTGATATCAAGCTCAGCAATTTAAAAAATATGCCTCTGTCTCTGCAAGACTACCTATGAGTTGGAGATGACTTATGTAATATTCAACTCAGCAGATAATGTATATAAAAATTATTTCATATGATTTAATGATCTTGAATCAATTTAACTGTTTATATGTCATACTTGGAAAAAGCAGGGCAATTATAATATTTAATAATGGCATCTGCATAAAAAGCAATAATTCATATTCCACTTTAAAAATCTTTTCTCTCATGTAGAGGGGTAAGTGGCATCCTAGTTGCAACAGAAGGATGTACTGGTGAGCTTGTGTAGCGGTCCCTAAGTTAACGCATGTTGCTTTATTTGACTGACACTGATGTTCCCATCTTAGCTTCCGGCTGTTACGTGGGCAGAAAACCCAAAGTTAGTAACTTTGAACAGTTCCATCAATGTTAATAACTCAAGGGCCAAAGTGATGGACTAAACTGCCAGTCGAGTCAATCTCTGGTTCGCTCTCATGATGACAGAGTGTTTTAAGGTAGTGAGGCAGTGCTTAGTCTCAAGGTAGCCTCCCTTCCCCTCACGCATTACCTGGTGTTTGTGAGCAGGAATGTGGATCCTCTATACATGCCTGGAGTTGTGAGTGTGGGGAGCGGCCTCCAGTGTGCTGGGGTATACCCCGGGGACTCTGCAAGTGCCTCACCCATAGATGCTCCCTGTGGCCTGGTGACAGGGGTCACCAGGCCCATGGAGGCTTACAGTGTGGAAGTTGGAGGCTTCACCATAATCTGTGGCCTGAGCTTGGGCTCAGGGAATATTCCTGGGTGGTGTCAGCTATACATCCTCCTTACTCATGGTCATAGGGGAGCAGCGACTCTCTGGGACTGTGGGATGGTTGGTAAAAGAATTTACCAAGACAATTGTAGGTAAAGAAAGGCAGATTTACTGGACACCACAGAGTTTACATGTTTGTGGTGATGTGGGTGTGTACAATTATGTACAGTGCATAACAATCAATGAAAAGAGTAGATGCTGATGTTAATGTTTTATGTATTTAATATCCTATGTTTTTTATTGTTATTTTAGGGTATATGCTTACTATTTTTTTTTTTTTAAGTTAACTGTGAAGCAGCCTCGGGCAGGTCCTTCAGAAGGTTTCCAGAAGAAGGCATTATTATCAAGGAGATGACAGCCCCATGCCTATTACTGCCCCTGAAGACCTTCCAGTGGGTCAAGATGTGGCGGTAGAGGACAGTGAAATTGATGATCCTGACCCTGCTTAGGCTTAGGCGAAAGTGTATGTTTGTGTCTTGGTTTTTAACAAAAACGTTTTAAAAGTGAAATAAATAAATAAATAATGAATAAAGCTCATAGAATAAGGTTAAAAGGAAAGAAAATATTTTTGTATAGCTATATAATTTGTGTGTTCTTCTGTTGATCTGTTTGAGACAGGGTCTCACTCTGTCACCCAGACTGGAGGGCAGTGGCACAGTCACAGCTCACTGTGGTCTCCACCTCTTGAGCTCCAGAGATCCTCCCACCTCACTCAGGAGGACACCAGTCCTGCAGGCAGACATCAGGCCCCGGATGGACCCTGGACTCAAGGTGTACACCAGGCCCCAAGTTGACAGCTAGGCCACAGATGGACACCAAAGCCCTAGGTGGACAGCAGGCCCATTTGAACACCAGACTCCTGTGGACATCAGGCTGCAGGTAGACACCATGCCTTAGGTAGATACATAGGCTCCAGGTGGACATTAGACCCAAGGTACACAGCCAGTTCCCAGGAGAACATCAGACCCAGGTGAAAACTCAGGCCTTAGGCGCACATCCGGCCTTAAGTAGACACCCAGGCCCCAGGTTGATACCCAAGTCCCAGGTGATCACCAGACCCCAGGTGGACACAAGGCCTTAGGAGAACAACAAGACCCAGTAAGCCATCAGGCCCCAGCTGGATACAGTCCCCAGGTGAACACAAGGCCCCAAAAGGAACATAGGCCCAAGGCAGACATCAGGCCCTAGGTGGAAATCAGGCCTGAGGAGGACATCTGGCCCCCGGTGAACATCAGGCACAGATGTCCAAGCAGGCCCTGGGTGAACATAATGGTTTCTAGGTAAGGAGTTGTCCTGGGGGGAGGGTGAGCAGTCAGCAGCCCAGTGGAGTCCTGAGTAGGACTTATGGAAGAAAGGGGTCAAGGGGACGGAACCTTAAAGAAGCGACCTCACTTCCTCGATGACATATCCAACAGAACTTAGAACTCTGGTAACCAGGCGCCCAGATCCTAGGGTCAGCCCAGTAACCAGCTCACTTGGTGGGAGACACTCGAGAGAGCAAGATGTTCTCGTGTTGCTTCCCCACTTCGAGAGGCTGCTGCTTCAGGAATGGAGGGAGTGAGAGCCTTTTCCGACGATGCCGAAGAAGGCTCATCCCTCACCCCAGACGCCTGTGGCCTTTTGTAAGAAGGCGCACCCAGGTACCACAGGGCAGCGAAGGGCAGGCCCTAGCAGGCCATGCCACACCAGAGGTCCCATCGGGGCTGCATCTGCACATTGTCCCTGTCCAGGAGGAGATTCGGGAGCCCATGGAGGCACAGGCACATGGTGAGATGGCCTGCAGTCTCGAAGACTTTGTGGGGGCGGTGTTTAGGGGCTGGAACTCCTTTAAATTCAGTGAGGTTGTTTCTGTGTTTGGAAATTCCAGTGGAAAGTGACTGACGCTGGTGACCCTTTCTCCTTTTTCAGCTCCTGGTCCATTTGAAGAAATAGGAGCATTTCCAGCACCAGCTGTTGAGCCAGAGCCAGCATGGGAAGAGTCCCCTCCAGAGACAGCGCTGGAGCTGGAGGGAGTTCCGGCCAAGGACCAGCCCAATGAGGAGCTGCCTGAAATTATGGCACCTGCTGTAGCCACTGGCCTTAGCCTTGCAACTGAAAACGTGGCTGTAGAGAGAAGTCGGAGGGAGGGGGTGACCAGCACGGCCCCAGCCAGCAGCTCCTATGCTGCCCCTAGTCCTCCTCCAGAGACAGCGCTGAGCTGGAGGGAGTTCCGCCGGCTGACCAGCCCAATGTGAGGAGCTGCCTGAAATTTTGGCACCTGCTGTAGCCACTGGCCTTAGCCTTGCAAACGAAAATGTGGCTGTAGAGAGAAGTCGGAGGGAGGGGGTGACCAGCACGGCCCCAGCCAGCAGCTCCTATGCTGCCCCTAGTCCTGGGCACGGTGGCAAACATGGAGGCGGAGACCAGGGTTTTGAGCCTGGGCTCCTCTACCCTGCCGGAGAGAGGCTTGTGTCATTCACTAGAGCTGCAGTTCTGCTGCTGCAGGGCCTGTTTATTCTGCTGCTGCTGGTGGGGTCCATCTGTGTGCAGGAGGTGCTTGAGGGCATTAAAAGAAGACTGGGAGGAAGAAGATCTCCAGCAGCTCCCTCCTGCACCCAGTAGAGGCGCCTCCTCCAGCCACGGATGTCTGTCTGCAACTGGGCATCCGGGGCTGTTTGCCCCTGCCGCATGCCCGAGACACAGGCTCTGTGCCAGACAGAGGGTACCAGAGTGCAACCCCAAAGGGTACAGCAAGAAAGCTTTTAAAGACAGCACTTGTGCCCGCTGTCCATGCCACCACCTGCCCCAGCATTTTATTAGTAGTGTTAGAATTACTAGTTGATGAAACAATATTTCAATAAAGTTTAATTTCTGAAACTTTGTGCCTTTTTGAACTCCCTAATGTTAGATGAAGCTGAGGCGATCCTGAAAATCTCTGATAGCTGTGTCTTTTGTTGTGGTTGTTTGTGTGATTGAATTACCATGGAGTCAACTGTTATTGGAAACCTTCAGGCATGGCTTGTAGGTGACCTTTGGACCTACTCTTTGCCCGTTTTGACTCTGGTTTATTGTGGAAAGAGGGACAGATGTAGGCCTCATGTCTCTGGCAGATCAATCACCTTTCCATCATGATTTGGTATCAGAGTTTCAAGAATTATGTGTGCAAGTTGACATGCTGGCACTTTAGCTACTCTGGGTGTCAAAACAGAATGCCATAGACTAGGTAGCATAGAAAATTGATTTTCACAGTTCTGAGATGGCAAATCCAAGGTCAAATGGTCAGGAGATTCCATGTCTGCAGAGGGCTGGCTTCCTGGTTCATAGATAGCCATCTTTTACGGTGTCTTACGTGACAGAAGGGATGAGGAGCTCTCTGCAGTCCCTTTGATAGGGGCAAATTACTCCATTCATGAGGTCCCTGTCTTCATGAACTTAATCACCTGTCAAGGCCCCACCTCCAAATACCATCACATGGAATTAGAATTCACAATATGAATTTGAGGAGGACAGTAACATTTGCTTTACAGAATCAGGTCTCCCAGAGCCATGCACCACAGGAAATCCTGCAATCTTCTATTACATTTGCTGGTCCCCTTGGGATTAGGGAATTTTTCTTTAAGAAAATGATCTTCATGTGATCCATGGTTTATTCATAGAAAAGCACTGTGAGTTCACACACTTGCTAAAAAGAAGGGCAATGGTGACACAAAAATGACAGTGACCTCTGTCTCTCTCTCTCTTATTTAACCAACCCATTGGGCTGAGACGTTGTAGGGGCGCTGGCTGGACAGTAGTACCTGAGTAGCCACAAACGGCAAACACATCTTTTGGTCAGCTTGAGAAAAGGTGACAGTTTGCTTCAACGAAAGAAAAGTAAAGCAGATGGAGTAGTTCTTAGTTCGCTTCTAGCTATACCACCTCTTCCCTGTGAAACTCAAATTTCACTCAGGAACTAGGACATAAAAGAGTAAACACCAAGGCACTGGTAAACCAACTGACTCTTCTGAATGCCCTTACATTTCCTACAAATACCTCAGGCTGAGCGAGGGGCTGGGAAGGTGGTAGGAACACGCATGATTCCTGGGTGGGAGGTCAGCCAGGACTAAGACAGGGCTGCTCACTAGGGCTAGAAATTAGGAAGGAGAGGCTATGCAGACCAGCCCCAGCCTAAGTCAGCAAGCACGATTACGACAAAACAGGTCCCAAGTGAAGCCGAGGTAGAAAGGCAGGAAGAAAGCAAGTACAGGATGAGAAGAGAATCAGGTGTTTTCTAAAGCAGCCAGTCTGATGGCAGAGGGAGACTGGTGCTTTTAGCTCGCTTGGGAGAGAATGAATAGAGGAGGCACAGAGATGGGGAACAAGCATTACTAGCTGGTGAGCAGGATTAACACGGAATGGGAAGAGAAATCTCGCACAAAAGGACACACTCATGCAGATCTCCAAGATGAACATGCACACTTCCTACATGTAGAAATACGCTCAGTTACACATATAAACCACAGATGGATGGAGAGAGGAAGAGCCAACAGACATATTTCTACACATGTGCTCATGTGTGCCCAGATATACCAAGCAACATAAAACATGAGAACATTATACATAGATATGCATCCTCACAAGCTGCATGCAAATGTTACATCTTCACACAGAGAGCCTACAGTCCAGTGTGCAGCTGCAAGATCCACACACTGGTACGCAGCCAGAACTGACATAGGATACATAAACCTATAATGTGCATTTTCAAGTGGCAGACAGGCATGTGCAGGATTTATCTATGCACATAGATTACCACGTACTCACCAGTCATACAGATACACACACACTCTAACACAAAGGTGACCAGTGTAGATGAATATCATTGTGAGCCTGGGTGGCTTTGCAGATCACCATCTTTTCCCTGCACTTGTTTCAAAGGTGCTCAGCAGACTCTGGCAGCTGTGAGGCAGGAGGCGCTCAGAGTCCTCACAGCTTTGTGAGGCAAAAGTCTAAGTCCAGTCCTGGCTCTGCTGCTCACCCACCACTGGGCTATTAATGCCTGTCTGTAGTGAGATTTTGCATGGGTGACTAGTCTTGGGATATTTTCTTAACTGGCCGTTTTTCTCCTTGGCACCCCCACTATCCTGGGGGAAGGGTATACACTCTGCAAGGGAAACCTGAGAAATGGTTGTGAGTCTCTGTGACAGGTAAGCACATCCTCCACCCACAGCTACTCCCCAAGTGCCTACATCAAATCAGAACCAGAATTATAAATATTTATGACTTTACAATAATTGGCAACACATATACTATAGTATTTACAGCACCATAAATGTATCTGTTTCTCTGGCTCAGCAATTCTGAGATGGAACAGTGTTCTGTGTTTGCCAAGAGAGACAGAAAGCGCCAATGCCCAGGACAAATGGATGGTAGGGGCAGAAGGTGGCATATCATGGGGTTTCTGGCTCATCTGTAAGGCCCAGCTTCTCCATGAACAGTGGGCTGTAGTGAGAAGCTTGCCAAGACACGCATATTGACTGGAGTTGGACTTCCTGTCCTTAGCCCTGTGGTCCTTGGCCTCAGCCACAGGTGCTCAGAGTCCTCTCAGGTGGACAAATGTTTCAGTGTTTTGACCTGACCTGATACTTCCTGGGGACCCAGTGCCTGCAGGGGTCAGAGCTACCTGCCTTCTCAGCCAAAGGGCTCTCGAAGCAGCAGCCTCAGATTTTTCTCTTGCCTTTGTAGATCTGTTTGAGATTGTCGGCGAACTGGGCAAATTGCAGGAAGCCATCCTGGGGCATCAGGGGGCTCCTGAGCCTGCTTAGAAACTCAATAAACTCCATACCGGCAATGGCTGATGTGTGCTGGGTGTAGTGGTGGGTGTTGATGTGAGCACTGATGGTGGGCATCAGCAACTGTGCACAGCTCTGTCAGTGGAGATGAGCCTAGAGTTGCAGTGCCTGGGATGCCAACGCAGCTGCGCAGTCACCGTGCAGCCTCACACACAGGATGTCTGAAAGCACCATGGCAATGTGCACACTCTTCACCACCAGGGGGATGAGAACTGCCAGCTCATTCTTTCCCAGAGTGGCTGAGGGCACAAACCTGGGAGCAGCATCATTGATGGCTGCGTGGGTATCCTGGTTAAGAGCCGGGTTAAGATGGCTCATGGCCAATGAGGCCAGCTGAAGGCATCACGGAGCTGCAGCCAATGGAGATGCACGTAGCAGGCAATGGGGAACAGCTGGGAATGGGCCGTGCCACCGGCAGCAGCCTCAGTGGCAATCTGGCAGGCGGCCTCAAAGGCAATGTGGTCTTTCTCAGAGTGTGGGCAGCTGACAGGGCACAGCCTGTGATGCTTCATAGCACGCTGCAAGGCCAGTGTGCAAGCACAGCTAGCCAGTTCCTCCCGCAGATAATCAAGACTGGAGGCAGGATAGTGGTGGATACAGCCGTGGCAGTAGCTACAATATTAGTAGCCTCAGTAGGGTGAAGAGTGCGTGTCCCAGCCTGCAAGATGCTCACTGGGGCCCACACACCTGTCAGGCCAGTGCCTGAGCTCAGCTGTGGCCATCTGGGTCCTGATTCAGGTCTGCTCAGATTACCATGTGGGGTTTGAACTTGGCCTGCAGAGATGAGTTCTCCTTCCTCCTCAGCGACCTTCAGATGATCTGAGGCAAACCAGGGCAAGGGAGGCATCCCAGATGGCCAGACCCTGCTTGGGGTCTCTTCCTATCCCTTCCTTCCCCAGGCCAGAGGGTTGAAGGTGCTCTTAGCCCCTCACAAGGATGGAGCAGTAAAGCCTGGGGTTCGCTTGCCCCGAGGCCAGGGTTACAGATCTGCTAGGAGTTCTAGCTGAAGTGGGGCCTCTCAGGGTTGAGTCTTGTGCTGGTCTTTGGGCTTTAGAAAGGGTCCTGAGCCGGCCAGGCGTGGTGGCTCACACCTATAATCCCAGCACTTTGGGAGGCTGAGGCGGGCGGATCACGAGGTCAGGAGATCGAGACCATCCTGGCTAACATGAAACCCCGTCTCTACTAAAAATACAACAAAATTAGCCAAGGGAGGCTGAGGCAGGAGATTGGCCTCAACCCGCGAGGTGGAGCTTATAGTGAGCCGATATTGCGCCTCTGGACTCCAGCCCAGTCGACAGCACGAGACTCCGTCCCGAAAAAAAAAAAAAAAATAGTGTCCTGAGCCTCCAAGCTGTCTGGGGTTTCTCACAAGCACGGACAGGGACGGGACTAAGCCACCAGGCCCACATGCTCAAACCACAGTGGCTGGCCTTGGGAATTAACGAGTAGTCTCGACCGGGCGTGGTGGCTCACGCCTGTAATCCCAGCACTTTGGGAGGCCCAGGTCGGCAGATCACAAGGTCAGGAGATGGAGACCATCCTGGCCAACATGGTGAAACGCCGTCTCTACTAAAAATACAAAAAATTTAGCCAGGCGTGGTGGTGGGCGCCTGTAGTCCCAGCTACTCAGGAAGCCAAGGCAAAAGAATGTCGTGAACCCGGGAGCCTGAGCTTCCAGTGAGCCCAGATCGCGCCACCGCACTCCAGCCTGGATTGCAGAGCAAGACTCCGTCTCCAAAAACAACAACAACAACAACAACAACAACAAAAACAAACAAACATTAGCTGGGCAGG